TTGTAGGGAGTTCAGTTGTAAACACATTGAGTTTGAAATGTCTTTGTATTTTCAATGACTAATTTGATTACTGGTGGGTATTTATGAATGGGTCATGATTGACTATGACTTCAAAATTGTCATTTCTTTATCCTAGTTATTCTTCTTTATACAGTTGATAAACACTGAACTTGGTAATTGAAGGAAGAAACAGTATTGCCAGACTTCTTGTAAAAGCAAGTTTGTTCACCTACCCCAAATGAGCAGGACTAAATGCTCAATATATTGGGGCCAAATCTGTGTACAGTCACTTAGAGCTGTAGGACTCAGGGCATGCCTAAGACTCCTTCTTGGCCTTTGTTTTCCTGTTTAAAAGTTGTTTTACCATACCTACTTCCTAGAGTGATAATGATAAAAGAAAATAATAAATTACAATAGCACATGGCCAGGCTTACCATCAGTGATCAAGAAGTTCATTCCTTCCAGCCCAGCATAGAGAAGTATGAGGCATTGCTGAGAAGTTCCATGCCCCTTCCATGCTTTTTAGGTCTCAGAATTTTAAGGGCATTATTCAAATAGTAAACACACATGATCTTTGCTTCCTGGCTGTAAAATAATCAGTGGAGCAACAGGGCAGGTCACTAGGATGATCTAGGCAGGCAGTGAAATAAGAAATTAGTAAATGGAGGTAGACACCAAAAAAAACCTACATAAATTCCACTATAAGAAGAGCAAGTGAGCTAAGGGAAAGGGAGAAGTGCAGGGAAAAGAAATAACATGAATTACTTTAATAAATAGTATACAGAATTAACATGATGGCTAAAGCAAGGTTTTGATAAAAAGACATGATTTAATTACAAAGAAGATTTTTTGCCGGTAATTCCACTGAGCAAAATATAAAATATGTCAAGCTGCAATGTTGACATTCCCAAATAGAGTAGACTTGTATACTAATGAGAACATTTTAATCATTTTTCCAATCTTGCACAATTTCAGATGTTTCCACCTTTATTCAGTTTAATACATAATATCTAAGTCTCATGGATATAATTCTGTGATTAATATTCCTGAGGTTAGGAAACAGGTCTGAGCACCTGAAATACCTAAAAGTACCAAAAAGTCTAAATACCTGTCATAAAAAAAACCCAACTAGAGGGTGAGCACCTATCTCTACAAGCACCTGATACAAATGCTTGACTTCATTAGAATCCACAGCACTTTCCTAAGGGTCCATAAAGTATTCCTGGTGTTGAGAAAAATCCAATATAGTTCTTGGCCTGTCTACAGTAGTGCTTAACAAATATTTTTAAATAAATAACATAATCATGCTGAGAAAAACAACAGTAATTTCATTTTTATACAGTGTTAGTGGGAATACAAAATTGGTACAATCTTTTTGGAGATAAATTTGTTAATGCTATTAATTAAAAAACATAACCATTAGTTAAACAATTCCACTTCCAGAAACTTATACCTCTACAAAGTTGAATGGACAAGGATAATCAAAGCTTCATTGTTTATAAACCAAAAAATTGGCAACAACCTAAATGTCCATGGGAAAAGTTACATGAATTATGATGCATCCAGCTAATGGAATTTTCGGCAGCTGTTAAAAATAATGAGGTAGAATTTCTTTACTGCAACAGAAAGATCTTTAAAGAATATTAAGTGAAAAACAGAAAGTTTGCATAATAATGATAGTAGTAGTAATTATTACTATTATAAATATTGTGAAGTATGGACTATATTCTAAGTATTTTACCTTTATTAACTCATTCAATTCTCACCACAACCCTATGAAGTGGTGCTACTGAGATCCTCATTTTATGGATAAGGAAACTGAGGCACAGTATTGTCAAGTAACTTGACCAGTCACAAAATTAGTGTCAGAGGCAGTGTCTGGCTTGAGCCTCAGTGTTCTTACCTGGTTCTATTCTATGTGTGTTAAAAAATGTATAAAAATCCATGTGTCTAGGGGTGCTTGGGTGGCTCAGTGGGTTAAGCCTCTGCCTTCAGCTCAGGTCATGATCTCAGGGTCCTGGGATCGGGCCCTGCATCGGGCTCTCTGCTCAGCGGGGAACCTGCTTCCCCCTCTCTCCCTGCCTGCCTCTCCGCCTACTTGTGATCTTTTTTTCAGTCAAATAAATAAATAAAATCTTTTTAAAAAAATCCATGTGTGTAAATACACACATATATGTATATGGATATGTACATACACATGTATGCATGTATGTATTCATATCTGCATGGAACATGGCACTAAATACCATCTCTGAACTGTTAGCAGTTGCTTTCTTTAAAGAGTTGGTAGAAGAGGAAGAGGGGAAGATACTTTTTATGTGACACAAATTTATTTTGCTTGTTTGCTTTTGTTATGAGAGATATTATTATTATTTTTTAAAGATTTTATTTATTTATTTGATAGACAGAGATCACAAGTAGGCAGAGAGGCAGGCAGAGAGAGAGAGAAGAGGAAGCAGGCTCCCTGCGGAGCAGACAGCCCGATGTGGGGCTCGATCCCAGGACCCTGGGATCATGACCTGAGCTGAAGGCAGAGGCTTTAACCCACTGAGCCACCCAGGCACCCCGAGAGATATTATTTTTATAGCAATTTTTTCACAGGTGGTTCCCAAAATATAACTACCTCGTTATTTTTCTTCTGCTGCTAGCAATTAAGGAAGACATCTGCCCATTTTTCCTCATTGTTAAAAAGTTATTCATTCAGCAAAAACATTTAAACTGTGCTAGGTGTCCCTGCCTGTCCTTGTCCTTAGGGAGCTCACTGCCTACTGGAACAGCCTGACATATAAACATGTAATTCCAGAGCTTCTGTAATGGGGATGTACAAGGATGGGGTGGGAGGGGCACAAAGGAGAGATAACAATTCTGTGGAGTTCATGGAGGGACAGTGTGAAAGAAGGTAGGCAAAGTGGAGGTAATGCTTTGCCTAAATGCTAAAGGAAAAGCAGGAGTTCTTGAGGAAACAGGGGAGAGGAGGAAGAGAAAAAGCATCCTTTTTGCTTTCAGGAAAATGGGAGTAAAGACACAGAGGCAGGAAACCACATTATTCTTCACAGGACTGGGCATAGTTTAATTTGGTTACAGCTTAGGGAGGGAAATGTGAGGAATGCCTCTGGAAATGCGGGCAGAAGGAACATCCTGTAAGTGGGTCATGTTAAGAACTTCATCCATGTACCAGTGTTTCCTAAGGGATATGCAAAGAACAAAGGTGTTCATGGAAAAACTCAAAAGATATGGATCAAAGGATATGGATCAAAAGATATACACAGAATGGAGTATTATCTGGCCTTAAGAAGGAAGGAAATTCTGACATATCCTAAAAGCGGATGAACCTTGAAAGCATTATTCGAAAATGTCAGACACAGAAGGGCAAATACCGTATGATATACCACTTACATGAGGTACCCAGAATAGTCAAATTCATTGAGACAGAAGGAATAGGGTTACTAGATGTTGGGGTGAGGAGGAATGGGAATGACTGTTTAGTGGTTAATAATTTGTTAGAGATGATGCAACAGTTCTGGAGATGGGTAGTGGTAAGTTGCACAACAATGTGAATGTATTTAATGCCACTGAATTGTACACTCAGTGGTAAAATGATAAATGTTATACTAAGCATATTTTACCATAATAAAAAAAGGTTGAAATGGTCAATTCTATGTTATGTGTATTTTACCACAATTACAAACTATGGGATAAGAGAAATAAAAAAGATAGACAAAATAGATACATAATTCAAATTCAATTCTTTTTTCTTTTTGACATTAAAATTAGGTATGTCAGGGGCACCTGGGTGGCTCAGTGGGTTAAGCCGCTGCCTTCGGCTCAGGTCATGATCTCAGGGTCCTGGTATCGAGCCCCGCATCGGGCTCTCTGCTCAGCAGGGAGCCTGCTTCCTCCTCTCTCTCTGCCTGCTTGTTATCTCTGTCTGTCAAATAAATAAATAAAATCTTAAAAAAAATAAAATTAGGTATGTCATTTCTTTGCTCAAGTTGATAATGATGATTTGTTTCTGTTACATAATAATGGCTGCCACTTACTGAAAAGTAGCTTTGCGCTAGTTTTACACCCATAGAGATAAGGAGATGCTGGCCCAGAGAGGTCAACTAATTGACCCAAGAGTAAGTGGTTAGTGAGGGGACATTTCTAGGAATCTTAGAATCCGAACTCGGCTCCAAAACCCTTGCTCTGTCACCAATCCCCAAGTTGCTTGATTATCTTACTACTTTTTTAGATACGCCTTCATTTTGCTTAAGCAAGTTTTCCCTTGATCTGCAAAAAAAAGTACTGTTTGTTTTCTGGGTTCAGAAAATGTAAGAAGCCCAGGGAATGGGCTTATATATGCAGAATAAAATGTTTGTTGAGTGTTTCCTTTTACCCACGTATGATACTTTTGAAGGGCTTTGACCTTCTGAAAGAGAGACCAAAAGAGCATACAAAGTGAGTCTAGACGCTCGCACCACAGAGAACTACTTCGCCAGCCACCTGTTACCCAGGGGAGGATGGTCCGTACTTTCCTTGCGGCTGTTATCTGGAGAATACGGCTTCTGGGCCCCAGGCCGCCAGCTTCCCCGACTTAAGATACGCGGCCGCAGAGAGACCCAGAGCAGACTCGCGCGCAGGCGCGAGGCGGCAGCGGCGTTTAGAGTCTGGGCTTTGCCGCCTGGCACCCCAGTGTCCCCGAGTGGTTTCCCTCCTTGGCCTGTTCTCCCTCTGCGCCCGAGCTCAGGGTCGCCCTTGCCCCTTCTCCAGGCCCTCTCCAACCCATGCCCGGGCCAATCCCCGCGCGCCTCCTACCCTCTGACCCTGCGTTTCATAATGCCGGAGCGAAGTCCCCGAGGGTGTGAAACCCAGCGTTCCTGCCCCTGGGCGGGGACGGGCGGCGACCGTGCGGGGAGGCGAGGCGGCGAGGGCGCAGCCGGCACCGTCCACCGGCCAGGGCCCGGCGAGTCCCCCGGGAGTAGGCCCCCTGCGCCGCTCGGCCCCACCGCCAGGCCCTCCCGCCGCTCCCTTCGCAGGCCGCCGCCGCCGCAGCCATGGCGGAAGTTCATAGACGTCAGCATGCCCGGGTTAAAGGAGAAGCCCCCGCGAAATCCTCCACACACAGACATGAGGAGGAGCTGGGGATGGCGTCGGCCGAAACGCTGACGGTGTTCCTGAAGCTGCTGGCCGCCGGCTTTTACGGCGTGAGCTCCTTCCTGATCGTGGTGGTCAACAAGAGCGTGCTCACCAACTACAGGTAGGGCCGAGGCGGCGGCGGCGGCGGCGGCGGCGGCGGCGGCGGCGAGGGCCGCCGAGGCCGGGGGAGGAGCGCGCGGCGGCGGCAGGGCGCCGGCTCCCTGGACTTGCGCCGCTAAAGTTAAAGCTGAACAAAGTTGGGCGGGAGCTGGGGAGGGCGGGCGGTGAATGAGCGGCCGGGGCTGCGGGGTCGGCTCGGCGCGCGGGCCGGGGTGCGGGTTCAGCTCCGGGCGCGGAGCTCAGGACCGCCCCGTGCACGTTTCGATCCCGGTGGGAAAGCGCCCATCGAGCAGCGCTCTGGAAACCTTGCCCTTCAGAGCGATGGAGGGGAGTTGCTTCGTGACTTTTGGCTCTTGAGCATGCCAGGCTGGGAGCAGAGCGAGGGATGCCCTCCCTTCCCCGCAGCCTGGCCCGGAGTCCCGGGCTTCAGGGTCCCTGAGTTCGCTGACAGCCTCTGGGGACGTGCGCATCAAGCTCATTTAAGACCGTTCTGCCGCTGTCACTGGGACCCCGAGGCCGAGGCAGAAGCAGAAGCATGTTTGTTGTAAAGATGTGAAACCGTTGAGGAGACCTATGTCTTCACCCGTTGAAAAATCCGTTGCAGGCTGCTGGCTGAAACTGTGGACTCGGACAAGATGAGACAAGTGGCCGCCGGAGGCTACAAAATCAGCGGCAATCAGCGGCGTTGCTTGACAACCAGCAGGGATTTTTCTCACGTTTTCATTTGGGGAGACGTTGGTGTTTGTTTCAAAATACATTTTAAGGTTGCAGATGTGCAAATTGAATTCACAGAACTGCTTTTGAGTTTTTCTGACCCTCTATTTCTCTCTCTTTACCTTTTTTGTAGATTTCCCTCCTCACTATGTGTTGGACTTGGCCAGGTTAGTTGGAATCTTCAGAATTACGTGGTTTATGTCGTTGGAACTTCTGTGTGTGTCTTTATATGTAGAACAGTGAATCTGTGTTCTCTGTTTGCAGATGGTGGCCACAGTGGCAGTTCTCTGGGTGGGAAAGGCACTCAGAGTAGTCAAGTTTCCTGACCTTGACAGAAATGTACCTCGAAAGGTAAAATAAAATAAAATAGAAATAATAAAATCTTTATTTTCTGAAAACAAGTTGCTCTATTTTTTTATAAGTCCTCTGCATATTTAAAAAATTGCAGTTTTGAACTTGCCCAGAATGGATATAATGAAGGTAAAGAATAAATGTAGTATTACATGTTTTGAAAAGTCCTACCAACTCCTTAAAATTAAGGGGGAAAAGGCCCCCAGATGTCTTATGTTGTTTTAATTAATGAAGACTTGTTGGGAGTACAGCTGTTTTGCATTTTCTACATCCATCTAATCTAGCTGACGTATCCTACATTCATTATTCCTTGGGTTTATTTTCTTCTTCTTCTGCCTGCCTCTGCTTGACTCCACATGCAGATGAAAAGCCTTTCCCTTTTCTGCTGACATTAGAGCCATGGGCTATTACATTATCATATTTTAAAGCAAGTGATGTTTCTGTCGTATATGGTTTGATCATACTCATATTTCTGTTTCTTTTTTTCTTCTCCATTCTTCCTTCTCTTTGCCATAGTACTGCTGTTATCCAGGAGTAATGTTTTTTGGGTGCTTCATGGGGGCCAAAATTGTATATGAGTTCTAATCTTATGTTTTAAGTGGAAAGAATTTGATCATATAAACAACTGTTTCTGTTTGAGAGGACCTTGTTTTAGCTATCTTTATTATTGAGCTTTGTTATCCCTTTTTAAATTTTCTAGACGTTTCCACTACCTCTACTATATTTTGGGAACCAAATCACGGGACTGTTCAGCACAAAGAAACTGAAGTATGGATAACTTTATTTTACTAGTGAGGTTAATATGATGTATTCTTAAAACTGTACTTGAATGTAAAATATTTAACACATTGTTATTAGAAAAAAATGAAAGAACCAGAAAGCTTTTGTTACTAAATAAGATTACACCAGAGGTTTTAGTTTAAATTCTTTAAGTTTGAAAACAAGGAGTTTTTGTTTGTTTTGGGTCCCCCCCCCAACTTTGATACTAGAAGTCTTAAAATGTTATAAAATGCTGCTATAGGAGATTTTCATTATTTTTCCAGAGCTATAGTAGTGAAGAATATATGCTAGGTTCCTGGGATTTCAATTCTTTAACACAATTTATAAATACTATATTTTAGGCAAATTCTATAAGCAAAATCAGAGGGTGGGTAGGAGAACTTTTGTAGTTTTTCTTTTACATGAGGTAGTTAAAGTAACATCAGATGGAACTCCGATACAAATACGATTAATATTATACCCATGAGCATACCACCGTAGAAGCAGCGTGTTCACTTTTAGAAAGAAGCAGTAGTTCTCTGCTCTGCGACAATACTGTTTTATTATCCTCTAACCTCCTAATTCTTGACTTCTCCACTTGAGAAGTGTAGTATGTATTAGGTGTATGTGATATTAAAGTTATACATATGGAAAAGCCATTTAACAGAAATCCATGGTTTCACTACTTCCACTTAAGCTAACCCCCGGCATATTAGATGATTGTAGAACAGAATGGGGAGATCTCTGAGGATCAGAGACAAAGCGTTTTTCATTTCCTCTTTCTTCAGACCCAAGAAATGTGACAGAGTGACTATGATGATATCTCTGGGGCAGGGTTCGTGGAAGTTGAATTTATCATGCATGGGTGGGGCATCCTTTTCCATCTCATTACCCACTCAGGAAGAAATGTAGACCTGCTGCAAAGTGCTGCTTGTATAGAATTTGCTCTTTTTCATCCATTGTCATCCATCTATCCATCCATTCATTCACACCCTATCTCTGGTTGCCAGCTAAGTATAAGGCACTTTGGAGTGAGATGGGATATATTCAGAAATAATTATATTGCAAGAGACTGTGTTTGACTAGTGCAAGCAGAGTGCTCTGATAATTTAGAGGAAGACAAAGGTACTTCCACAAAAGAACAATCAAGGAGTATTTCATGGGGTGAGATTATCATAGATGCTGTTTGGAGGGTTGGAGATGTCGTTTTGTGGGGGGTGGGTGGGAAATAAGATCAGTCTAGTAAAGAAGGACGAAAGAAGTCTTTTTCTTTTAAAACTAACATGGTTACTGTTCAGGATGTTTGTATAATAAGTAGTGTAAAATTAAAAAGTGGCTGTTACTAGTCTTTGATAATAGATATGTGATTGCTACCATTTTTTATAGGTAGCCTGAAGTTTTTCACTTCCTGTAGTTTTATAAAAGCAACTCTTTCAGGCTTTCAAATAAGGATTACTTCTAGAGAATAAAGGTTTAATTTAATCACAGATTAACCAACATGGAATGAAATTAATCAGCATAATGGAAGGAAGAGACTAGCATTATTCTAAGGTAGTTATTTGGAGAATCTTAGTTCAAAAAGTCAATCGCTAAACTTTATTTTGCCTAATTATATTTTTTCTCTTTTTAAAATTTTCTGCAGCTTGCCCATGTTTACAGTTCTGAGAAGGTTCTCCATCCTGTTTACAATGTTTGCTGAAGGAGTTTTACTCAAGTGAGCTAAATTTCTAATACATATGTATATATCTAGTCTTTAATGGACTTTAGTCATCTTGAAAAGAGGCCAGCATATGTGAAATAGTAAAATTACTTCTCTTATTTCTACTTTATCTTTCAAGAAGTTTAAGGACTTTCTTCCTTTGCTATAGTAGTTGATAGTTTATGGGTTCAGTAGTTGGGAAGATTATGAATTGGAATTGGAATCTGTCTGAACATGAGATACACTTTCCAGAATTCCTTTACCTACTGTTGCCACAAATGATGCTGGGTCTGAAACATCAGTATAGGTTTTACATAATGTTCCTGTCTTGGCTACTTTACTACAAATGTGTGTGACCTTTTTCTACTGAAATAAATTCTGATTTGCAAAAATTCAAACTCAATAATAATAGCAAATATAAGAATAAGAAAAAAATGAATATACTTTTTTTGTATAAGTTTTTGCTTTCTCAAAAGGATTCTTTGAAATATCCAATTCCTTGGAAACATTTAAAATTACAATTGCTTATAGCTTTTTTAAGGAAAACTTTTTTTTTTTTTTTTTTGTCTGTATTGCAGAATGAATCTTTGTGAATAACTACAGGTACATGTATGCACTTTAAATTATTTTATTTTGTAGGAAGACTTTTTCCTGGGGTATTAAGATGACTGTATTTGCAATGATTATTGGAGCCTTTGTAGCTGCCAGGTAAGAATGTATTAAGACCACATTAGGAAATTATCAATAGTTACTGATAATCAATTACTAATAAAAAGAATTTTGTATAGGTTGAGTAAGAATCTGTCTTTGGGAGGCATCCAAAAGACTCTTTAGGAAGTTAGATCTTTCTGGCCATATTTTCTGGTCAAGGCTGGCAAAACCTGATTCTTCTACTTATTGAGCACATTCTATATGCAACACAATATGTTTGGAATTTTACACATATTTATGCATTCTTTACAACACCTCTGAAAGATGTGGGTATAATTTTCCTATTTTCAGTTGAGGAAACGGAAACCTAGGTTCAGAAACTTGGTTGCGGTTACACAGCTAATAGATGGCAGCACTGGAATTTGAATTTGTGCCTGACTCCAGAGCCTGTGTGCTTCTATAAATCATGTGGTATTCTTTTACTTTATTTATATAGTGCTAAAGAAAATAGTGCTCAGAAAAGGCAAATGATAATGAATTCTTTCCTTGTGGTGGAATAATAAATAATAGAATATCTTTATTTGGCCTCACTTAAGATATAGCACAAGTACCATGACTTATATATTCTATTAAATTATTGAAGCTTTCCCCATTGTTTTTAAGTTTCAGTTTTAAAATGTAGGGAGAAAATATATGCCCAAAGACTGAGAAAATTAAAGTGATGGCTAGAAGCCTTCTACATTTTACTTTGACCAGGGCATGCATGTATGGGTTTGCTAATGCGGCAAATTCTGCCTGACATTTATTTTCTGTCTGGGGTTCAGTGTGCTTCTTGAACTGGCTCATTTACCTTCATCATTCCTGTAGTATAGGCAGGGGGAAATACTGTAATTCACATTCCACCCCAAATCTCCCAAGTGAAATTGCATTCTTAAAAAAAAAAAAAAGACGAAAAAGGATAGAAAACTTGGTTACTAGAATTTGATTATATGGCTGATTGTTTTTTCCTTTAGGTAATAAAGCCTTCTTGAAGAAAAATTCTTTGTGAGCCTCTGACCTTTTTGAAGCAGTTCTGTAAAGCTGGTGGGATTCAGAATTGAACCAAACAGGAGTGCTCAGGGCAAACCAACCCTGACCTACAAAAAGTTTCTAAGGAGGATTTTCTTTGGATGAGACTTAATCTAATCAGAACACTTTACTAGGGAAAAAGATTGGGAGGAAGGGAGTCTGAAGTTAGAAGGTTGTCAGGCTGCTTGGAAGAGGGGTTATACATAAGGCTAGTTCTGCCTGGAATTGCAGGGGCATCATGTTTCTCAGAAGTCCCATTCCATGCACTGGTTTAGCTATGAATACATAGTATCTTTGCACAATCACAGGATGTTGGGCCACTATTTTAGCTGGAGTGCTGAAGTACACTGAAGGCATACTTTTCTTAGGTTTTTTGTTATTCTGTTCAGTTTACTAAGTTCTGTTCTTGTGCTTGGTGCTCAGCTAAATACTAGAAAACACCAGTTTCCCTAATCCTGTTAGCTATAGGCTTTTTAAGTAATCGTTTAAGTATTTGAGTTCCTAGTGTGTACTTAAACACTGCTGTAGCTTGATCTCAGAACTAACTATAATCTATACTTCAGAAATTCCACTCAGTGACTGACCCAACCTCCTGTACAACCTGCCTTTTGTGTGAATGAGTCCTTGGAAAATGACATGTTAACAACTTCATCATTTTGGTTTCCTTCTCTCGGAAATTCAGCTCTGATGCCTTCTTCCTGCTTCAGACGTATTATAATGGCAAATTTGGTTACTTGTTCTTGTTGTCTGACTTTGAATTCAGAGCGGTGTGCTATTAATTGACATGACTAATTATTGCTAATGATTGTGTTTAAGTGTTAGTACTTCTCATTTCTGAAGACTTCCCTATTGAGTATGAAATTGCTCATTATAACCAGGAATCAAGAAGTACTAATCACTGATAAAATGCCTAATGTTCACTTAGCTAGATAAGAATATGTTCTTCCATTTATTGTACATTCAGGTCTTTTTAAAATTACATTCATGTTCTTTATTAAAGTGTTGCTTGTGTTTTACAGCTCTGACTTGGCATTTGATCTGGAAGGATATGTTTTCATTCTGATAAATGATGTCCTGACAGCAGCAAATGGCGCATATGTAAAACAGAAATTAGATTCAAAAGTAGGTAGCAATCTAAATCTTTAAGAGATGTTTATTGGTTTTGGGAGTGGTAATGTTTATTTGTCAGGAAAAAAAGCCGGGAATAAAGAAAACTACTTAGGAGAGCTGGGAAAGACCTAGGGATCTCTGAGGGTAAAATGCCCATGCTTTGCTACTCACATAAGAAATTCTTTTAGTTATTAATTAGCAATTAGATTTTATAGTTAGCTTTTCTGGAAGGGATTGGGTGATTATTGACTTTGGGAGAGGGATGTAATTAGGGTTGTTCATTACAGGAAAGTGTTCATGGCCGTGTTCTAGAAGGGTTGGTGAGGGACCTGGACAAGAAAGAAATATCTAGAAGCCCTTGAGCAGATTTGAGAAGTGAGAGTTGAAAGGGGCTGCAGATCAAGAATGCATTTTGTCTATTTGTCCCACCAAATAATGGGAAACTTTACGGAGCATTAGAATTGCTCTCCTTCTTAGGAGCAACACTGATTTCCTTGGCCTACATCTCATACACATGAACTAGCCACACCTATCCTTTTTTCTCTTAACTTGCAGCATGCATACAAAGTCTTTACAAGTATTTTTTGTTTGTCGGTCTACTATATACTTTAAATATATACCCACTAAGTTTTATTTTTAGATCAAGCCAGACCATCAGAAAGCGGAGTATTTGAGCCACATTGCTTTCACTACATTATGGCATAAGTTCGCTTTATTGTAGGCAGCTGTGTAGGGGTACCTGGGTGGCTCAGTCAGTTGAGCATCTGACTCTTGGTTTCAGTTTGGGTCATGATCTTGGGGTCATCAGATTGAGCCCCATGTAGGCTCCATACTCAGTAGAGAATCTGTTTGGTGTTCTCTCCCTCTCTCTCCACTCCCCCCTCCCCAGATGTAGAAATTCGATCTCTCTTAAATAAATAAATCTTTAAAAAATAAGCAGCTGTGTAGGACTCAGCTGTATATATCATAGGGTTGTTATTGAAGGAGCTGTCCTTTCTATCATGATGTGTCCTGTGTAAGGACCCACCTGAGATTTCACAGATGCCACTATAGTTTTTTCTGAACAGTGGTATATTTTTTATTTCATAATTAAATCTTATAACTGAGCATGACTTTATCTTATTTCCCTACCCATGTTTTCTAAACCATATGACCTTATCGAGTGAGTTTTTAGTCTGCTCTATTATTTGTAAAATATTTCTGAAACTACTTCAGGTCATTTTTTTGAGTTGAGATCAGAAATGCAAATGCCCAGCTACTCAGTGGTAGTATTAATGTCAAGTTTGTATTGTCGAGGTAGGGGCCTTTGCCTTCTCCACATAGAATGAGTGGCCATCCCAGTAGCTTTCATTATTCTCAGAGGTTGGTTTTGAAGATTTTTGAAGAAATGGGAATAGGGTCAGTGTAGATTGTTTCCAACAAATTTTCCTTATATATACTTTTATGTCTTGTTCTCCATTTATTTGCTGTGGTGACTGTATGATTGTATTTTAATGGAAGCTACTACTGTTAAAAATTCTTATCTTTTTGAAACAACTAGAGAAAAGGGAGCAGTTAGAGGTTTAGCTTTAATATGTTTTTGGTTTTTTTTTTTCCTCAGCCCATTTGCTGCTTTGGAAAATAAGTACCAGTGATAACATTCCATTTGTCCAGCACCCTCCACTGTCTGAAACAGTACTGTCCAATAGAATTTTCTGTGTTGATAGAAATCTTACATATTTCTGCTGTCCATTAACGGGAGCCACTAGTCACATGTGGCTGCTGTTGAGCACTCGATAAGTGACTGGCACAACCGAGGAACTGAATTAGTAGTTTAATCATAATTAAATTGAAATAACTGCGCATGGCTAGTGGCTACTGTATAGGACAGCACAGTCTAGAGTACATCCCAGAACCTACAAAAAGCAATGCGTGCTTCTGAGTATTTTATTCTCAGGAGAGTCCTTCAGTTCCTCACTTAAAAATGACTTATGACTTACTTGCATTAGAACTTTTAATCATATTGATCTGCTTTTCATACTTCATGGGTTAAGAGCAACATACTAGGAGATGGAATTCTATTTAGAGGTAGAGAGGTGGTATAAAAGGTCAGCTCACAACAGAAGATACAAACAGGAAAACTATAAAAGTCAGATGGAAGTACTCAAAAATGGGGCGATTAAATGACATTAAGGGCGATATCCTATAAGAACACAATACAATAATGCGTATTTATGATGATACCTTAAATTCAGTTTTAGTTGGTGTTTAAGAGGCAGGGAAAAGATTTCAAAAGATTTCAAAATAGTTAAGATGAGAAAATAAGAACAGTTTGACATTTAAGTTTTTGGTATTTGTCAGTTGTCTGGATGGTGTGTGTCTGTGTGTAGGCATCCTCTACTTCCTAGATCACACTCGTATCTCTGGCTGACAGAGTATCTGTTGTTAAAGGTTGTTTTCTTCTTCTATGGCCTTTTCCTTGCTGCTTTAGAAATAAGGCACATCTTTTCATTGATGCCAAGGCCACCACGAGCAGTCAGTTATTTGTTTTATCTGAGAGGCAGTATGGCCACACTTAGATGCTGTTAATAAGTCAGAAGTTTTAGTATCACCGATAGTTTCAGGGCTGCTAAAATCATGGTCCTTTGAGCTTAAGTCACGTGGTATAAAGACTATGTGCTGCATTTCCGACCTGAATGCAGCTATTGAGTTTAAAACATTTTTAACTTAAAAAAAAAATCATACAGATAATACATATTTATGATGGAAGTAGTAGAAGATGTAGACAAGCAAGAAAAAAAATCTAAATCTCTCTCAATTCTACCATCAAGTGAGCAGCACAGTTTTGGAGGGTAAGTGTGTGCACTCGCATTTGTGTGTGCACACTTAACTGTATACAATTTTAAATGAAAAAGCAACATATAATGTTTTCTAACCTATATTTTTCATGTAGTGCAGTTTCATGAACCTCTTTCCTTGTCAGTCAGTATTATTTAACCCTTTTAGTGGTTGCATAATATTTCTTTCTATGATTGTATCCTCATCTAACCACCTAGTTTTCTGTTGTTGGGTATTTGTTCCCAGTTTTTCAAAGCGGCTTTTGAGAAGGTAGATTGACTTTTCACATCGTTCAGTCTCCTTACATCAGAGAAGTTAGGCAGATATAATGCCCCATCCTCACTACTCCTTCATCCCCTCCCTGCCCCAGTCAAACTCTAGCCTACTTTTTCAGGTGACTGCTTCTGGCTGAATGTTTTACAAGTGTGCAAATCAAAAGTGAACCCAGATTTCTCATACGCTCCCTGTGTTTGAAGACGTATGTGGTTCTTTTGTTGTTCCCCGGTAGCTGAGGGCACAACGAATCACACTTTTGCGAACTGTAGATAATCTTCATTGAAACTCACCTATACATTTTCAGAAGTACTTCACTGGCAAGTTACAGCTGTCTGTGTTGGTCTAGGTAGGAGCGTGTGTGTTGGTATCTATCCATCTCTCTCTCTCAAATGGCACTCGTTGTGGTTCTGAACAGTTCAAGGCCTCAGGGTAGTGTTTGTATAGAAGGGTGTGTGTATTCAAAGTCACGGCTTCCCTGCTTGCTGCTTGGAGGTATAGCCAGTTGATACTATTTTTATTTCTCTGATTTTTAGCACTCGGAATCTCAGACAAATTTAAAATCTTGTATGTTTGCTTTTTTTTCCCCCTTTTGAAAGCTTACATTATTTCTTAATGTTTGCAAAACGGCTGATTTGCTGTCTGTATGGTTGGGGAGCTGTGTGTGTGTGTGTGTGTAGGGGTGTGTGTGTATCCTGTGTAGAGTTGTGTATATCTGGCTGCTAGAACTCAATGAAACACCTAATTATTTACTATTCTAGGAGCTGGGGAAATATGGCCTGCTCTATTACAATGCACTGTTCATGATTCTGCCCACCTTGGCCATTGCATATTTTACAGGAGATGCGCAAAAGGTAAGACTTCCTAATTATGATTTAATGTCTTATTTTTTTGAGCTGTATTATTGCTTGTGTCCACAGATAGACTGTGGGGTTGGTAAAAAGTAATGTGCTCACTGAGTGGCCAAAAACTGAGAGCTTATTTTTTTAGCTTGTTAATGTCATGCTAACCTTTTTTTCTTGGCGTAAGTATTGGATAGTACTAAAATGGCTCAAAATAGCTTTGGCTCTTACTGTAAAAATATTGCGTGCCAACTAGTGTCCTTCTCTTATGTGTCAGAAAGCTAGAGGGAGGAAATTTTTACATTTCTACTGAACTACAAAATAAGAATAGTGGCAGGCTATCCTCAAGAAACAAAAAATCCTGAATTAGTAAGGTTTCTTCAAACCTAAACAAAATGCTTGGCTTTCTAGAAGTTCTGTTTTATCGTACAGTTGTTATGCTTAAATCCCAAGCTGGGTTTTTTCCTCAGGAGATATTTAGCACCATGTGGTAACTTAACTGTGTAAATAGCAACTAATATAATAGTTTACTCATTTTCTGAAATGATTAGCTAAATAAACCCAGAATAGAGTAGCAAATAAATCAATACAACATTTTTTCTTTAAAGGAAACCCATATTCATAGGAGAAAAATTGATAAATAATCCATTTTGTTAGGATTCACAAAATTTGGCAAACTGGATGGAAACCTAGAATTTACCAAGTTTCTGTAACAAGATTTCTTCTAATGAGTCCTCTGGCTAGTAGTCTCTTCAGAACAAATGTGTTGGTAAATAAATATTAAAAAAAAAAAGAACAAATGTGTTGGTTATTTACTCTAATGACAGAGACAATTTCTACATATCAATGGGGGCCAAAATAAAAGTTCTGAAAATAGTTAGATTATTAAAAAATTGTTCTTCAAAGATAGAAGACCTTATAAAGCTTATAAAGGTGCTTTGTTTTATTCATCAAGAATGCTTTCTTTTTAAAAACTGGCACAGAGGGACTCCTGAGTGGCTCTGTCGGTTATTTGTCTGCCTTTAGCTCAGGTCATGATCCCACATCCAGGACATCCAGATCAAGTCCCGCATCAGGCTCCCTGCTGAGCAGGAAGTCTGCTTCTCCTTTTCCCTCTGCTTCTCCCTTTCCCTCTGCCTCTTCCCTTGTTGTGGTCTCTCTCTGACAAATAAATAAAATCTTTAAAAGAAATTAAAAATAAAAAAATAAAAAACTGGCATAGATCATCTTGAACAGGTATAAATGTTTTAATGAACTGTGACCTGGCTGCCAGCAGACCTAAAAGTGACTCCAAAGTAGGAAATGGAGCTGTTGCTCTGACTAATAAAGAGTGTTGAATAAATATTTTATGATTGTGAAAAAAGTGGGAAGAGAAACTAACATTTATTGAGTCCCTATTATGTGCTAGTCACTTCATATTGTAATATAATGTAGTCCCCAGAACAGTTCTAGAAAGTTTGAACTATCTCTCTTTTACCAATGTGGAAATAAGGATTCAGGGAGACTTAGTCCCTTGCCCAATGCCATACTGTCTGTGGGTAGAGTCAGGGTTTAAACTTAGGCCTAACTCCAGAAGCCACGGTCTTTCCAGTGTTCTTCCTCCCTCTAGGAGACTCTGGCGGAAGCACCTCTTACTCTTTAGCTTTGGGCCAAGGATGTAACGTAAAGTAGCCGAGCCCCTCATGACAGCATGGATGGTTCCAAATCTTGAGGCCAATCTGTACATGACAAGTTGGAAGAATTAATGTAGTTAGGTATTTTCTAGACTTGGCAAAGTTGCAATTCTCATTAATTGGAAACTTTGACTAGTAGCTTGTAGATACTTGAAAAAATGGACCAAAGGAGATAGTTCTTCATTCCAAAGGGATGATCATTTAACTAGAAGTTATCTGCCAGGTTATAGCATTATTCATGCATATTTGAAAGTTCAGTAACATTCAGCTTGAAATGCTGATTGAGAGTGTTTCATCAGAGTGAAAAAAGTTGCTGTGTCATCTACATATAGGTTGAGGTTTAGATTTTTCCTCTTATTCTTTTTTTCTTTTTTATGTGGAGGAGTAGAATTTGAGTAATCTTTTTGTTGTTTCCAACAAAAGTGCCAGGCAAAGGTCAAGAAAGGCTTATTTTGGAAGAAATGTTTTTTTAAAAAATGACAGAATTCACCTAAATACTTTCAAGCTGGGATGATAAACTAGTAGAAGATGAATTTATTTCTCTGTAATCAAACCCTGTCAGCATTTTGGTTTCACATAAATGTTTGTTTATCCTCACTCTTATTATTAGTTAATATTGTTCTTATAAAACATTTTCTGGGGTGTAAATGGGCACACTGGCTGGCAGTCTCATACTATCATACTTTTTTTATTAACGTTCTGTCCTTCACATGCTCTCCTTCTGACCTTCTCAAATAGTTAAGTGTTACTGTATGTCTCACTATGTTAGGCTCAGGTGATAAGAAAAAAAGATGAATTAGATTGTTTTCTTGCCTTTGAGGACCATACAGTTTTCTTGGGGAGTAGACATCAGAGCAAAACTGTTATAGGTTCTGTGGGAGAAGTGTTTTGGGGACATCATGGGATGTAAAAAGGAATCATTTCTGTCTTCTGATTGGGGATGAAATGCATCATTGAGTTTTGCCTCCAAACAGAATTGAGATATAAGTGATATAAATAATTAGTGTTGTCTTGGTAGGTTATAAATTACATTTGAAACTTAGGAAGTGAGAATTCTGTTTGACTCTGTTCCTAAATTCCTTAGGAGACAAGATACTGCAATTCCATTTTAAGTTCAATTGAGATGAGTATTTCTCAGCATCTTCATGGTGCTAAGAAAGCTATATCTTAAGTTCTCTGCGGCATATATGAGAAATATGACGTAGTCCTTGCCACATGAGGGAGACGCTGGCATGTTACAGGGATGGTGTAAGATCTGGCACCAAAATACATGCCTGTCAGTCAGTACAATAAATATTTAGGAAGAAATGGGTGTGGGTTGAGTATCAAGATTTGCTTTTTAGAAGAGATAGGGCTTGGTTTTCTTGTCCACCAAGTACAACAAGAAATGCTAACCTGTGCCGGGAGTTGTTAGAGATATAACTCAGGTAGCTGAGTGGTTTGCTCTTATTACCCAGCACAGAAACAGTGTGTGGAAGCCACAGGCGGCCTGATGCATCCAGGAAACTCACGGTGGTCTGTGACAGGCTGCGGTTGTTCTGCTGCTGGAAGATTCATTTTCATAGTAGTCAGTAGTCTGTCTGTCTGAAGTCCTGGCAGAAAGGGTTTCGTATGACAGAGGGGATATATGGCAGGATTTTGCATAAGAGTTTTCTACTATTTTGATTCGTTTTCAGGAGGTATCTTTTAAACTTGTGCTTTTCCTTTAAGATGCATATATGTGTAAGTAGACGTGCATGTGTGTGTATTTTTTTTTTAAGAGTGGACACTTTTTATGGGGCAGTTTAATCATTACAGCTGTTCCCATATTAGCAATTTGAGGCTACTTCTGGCCTTTAGGAAGACTTTACTTATAAGATATGTACCCAACAGGATGCTTCTGCATAAATCATTTTCCCTGATCCTCGTTACATACCTGAGAGATAGGTATGTTATTTGACTTATAGAGGTTAAGGACATGATTAAACCTCCACAGTGGCAGAGCAGAGCTAGAATCAGTCTGTCTGACTTCAGATCGAGCTCTTACTGTTGGCTTGACTACTACTCTCAGAGCCATGCACTGCCTCTCTGATTTACATTTTTACATTTTTACATTCCCTGTTTGGGAATTCCATGCAGGGCTCTCTTAAGAACAAGCTACTGAATGTGAGGAGCGTCATCAGAGTAGTAGCAGAAGTGCAGTTTCTGCAGCTTGGCCTGGTTATTACTTAATCTTTTACAAATAATCATATTTCTTTTGTTCAACAAATATTTACTGAGTGTACTGAGTGCTTTACTCAGGTGCTGTTCTAAATTAAAAAAAAAAAGAAAAGAAAAAAGACATGTCCCGCTTAAAGGAGCTTGCAACCCAGTGGGTGAGATCAACTAAACCTAGATTTGTATCATAAGAACCAGGAGGAAAAACAGAACAAGGAGGAGAGTGATTGGGGAAGAGCTGCTGGGGATAAGGTGGCTAGAGAAAGCATCTTCATCAGTTTCACTTGAGCAGGCATTGGACTGAGTGGACTGAGACCAGTTTGTGTGGCTCTTTGGAAGGGTCCTCTAGTTGGAGGGAAGAGTGGGTTCTGAGTGCTGAGGTGGGAGTGCTTACCTTCTTCACAAGGAGCATTTTTTGAGTAGGTGAATACCAGGAGGATCAAGGTGGGCCTTGAAGGATGTGGAGGAAGAGAAACCAAAGGAACATTCCAGGGGGAATGGATATCATGAGCACAGATGTAGCCGTGGGGACAGCCTCATCAGTATTCTTAGAGGGTGGCAGTTAAAGACGTTGGGGACCTTCAAAGAGACCTTGGAGAGCATCTGGTTTAAGCCTCTTTTTTCACCATTGGGGAAGTTGGGGCCCAGATTGGGCTCAGGACTAGAACCCTGATTTCCTGACTATAACTAGTACTCTCGTTTCCCCCCCATCCCACATATCATACCCGCCTTCCTTCTAAGTTGGGACAAGTGCTAGATACAGGAATTTGAAATTTACTCTGCAGAGATGATGAATCCCTAAAAGTTCATGACATCGGAGGTAGAGTGGAAAATTGGGGGCAGAATGCAGAAGCAGCGTCCAGTTGGATGAAGCAACTAGTAACATCCAGTTCTGGCCTTGACGGCTGTCTGATTTTGGATGATGAATCCCTTCTGCTCCTCCATCCTGCTGCGTCATGTGTAAACTGAGTAGGTTGTATCGATTGAGTTGGTTGGTTTTCTAGGTAGGGCCCTTTTCTGGGCTGAGACAGAATTTCTGAGGAGCAGAAGGGATGCTCATGTGGAGACGAGCTGCTGCTGTTCTGATGGGTGACATGAGCCCAGCTCCTCCCTGAGTCCCGAATACCAGTGCTTCTGAACTTG